AATTTTTATTTTGTCTTAAATGACGAATCATATTTCACATAATACAATACAAATACAATATTGGCTGGCAACGATGGCTTCTGTTCTAGCAACGTGTCATCTATAACTAGCAACGTCAAACTCAAAAGAAAGAAGAAGTACGAGGAAAAGGTGCTAATCTCTTTGATTATATCGCCCAAAGGGACTTCAAAACAAATGTTTTTCTAAAGTGTCCAGGCAATCAACAAACAAGCATACATCGGATGTCTTCACAAGCGGTAATACCCTTCATTGATGATCATTATAAAATGAAGAGTACTTGTTCTGGCCAGATTTAGCTAGCTTACACAATGCAAATGAAGTTTTTTTTTTCTCGATGCCAATAATATCAAATACCTGCCAAATAGTAAAAAATCCACCCAGTTTTCATGACACCAGTTAAATCTATTTGATAATCTGAAAATTCATCATAGTTCAACATAAATTTCCTTTCATGTATACTTGTTTGGTATTATTACTTTAATTTTTGCAATTATTGTGTGCAAGATAATTAAAATCAAAACTTAAAACATGATGACCTTCTTTTAGTTTTTCCCTAGGGATCCATGTGTAACAAGTTAGATATACGAAAAGGATAGGCTGTAAACACTAAATATGTTTAGCACTTTAGTGCCATTTATAGAGGTGTACCAGATATTTTTGCCGGATATGCCGGATAGTGAACTTTTCTATAAAGTTCTGTAAGTGTTAATGAAGAAAAAACAAGTCATGCTAGTCTACAATAAATAGTATTCAAAACCTTACTTACTAAAATTAGTGAAAAATTTTATGACATGGTGTATATGCTAACAAAGTATAGAAAATAGTAATTAAAAAAACAAAAATTTAGCTATAAAAACAATTTTTCTTTATACATTCTTAACGCATATACCTGCGTTATACCAGTTTTTTATTGACTTTTTTTTTAAATCTTGAACGCTATTTAATGTAGAATGGAAAAACTTGTTTTTAATTCATAAACACTTATAGAACTTGAAAAATGTTCACTATCCGGCATATCCGGCAAACCTCTAGTCGTTTATTCGGAATGTTGGTTTTGTTATATGTTTTGTAAGATAAGATTCTTTAATACATTACAGAAACTGCCTCTAGAGGCAGTTTCTGTATATGTATATGGAGTTCTAGTTATGAAAACTTCTGCAGAGTATAAAACTTCTGCAGACAAAAAGAGCTCTTTTTGTCCTCTGCAGAAGTTTTCATAACTAGAACTCTATATACTATTCAAGGATGAAAAATTGAAATCACTACATATTAAAACTTCAGAACATATTTTAGTTTTTGAAAAATGTTTATAACTTTTCTTAATGAAATTAATTATGTTCTGAAAATTGACCAAATCATCACTTCCGGGTCTTTAAATACAAGAGATAATATGCATTCATTGCTCATTTCAATTGCACACTATATCTGCTTCACATTTTTATTGTTATAGGCTTTATTATTACTTATATTTTATGTTTTTTTAGATGCGCCAAGAAGACCTAACGGTTTTATCACAGAGCACCGCGGAAGAGCATTTAAGTAGGGGTCACTTGCTTCTAAAGCAAGCGCTCTAACCACTGCGCCAACGCCGCTTTATTGATATTGACTTTAAACGAATCAATTTGGTCCTTTACATTAATACAGACATCACCGCCTTAGGCAATTTTGCGGTCTCTAAGATAAAGGTTATACCCGGTATAACTGTTGCAAAAGTATTATTCCACCATGTTTCTGTGACAAAAATTATATCTAAAAAACTTATTTCAATTTCAACTATAACTTCATTCAACTTATTTTTTTCAAATGATGTGGCATTGATATAAAAAAATTTCAAGCTATTTGAGTTGGATCCAGAACTTATACCTAGCTACATTATCATTAATTTTGATATTAAAAGCTAGCGTATTGGTCGCACTTCTTTTGAATATTAGAATGTTACTCATAGTGCTTTAATAAAACTAAATAAAAAAAACAGCAATTTAAGTATAAAGTCTTTATACTTAAATTGCTGGTTTTATTTATTTAGTATTAATATTCTACTGTTTCTTTTACAGTAATAAAATTTTTGCTTTTATTTATGTCTGAATGACCATTTAAAACTTTAACTTCACATCTTAATTGCTTTGTTAAAATTTTTTTTCTGCTTTAGTCACGTCAGTATTAAAGTAAATATTTGGTATCTTTTTACTGTTTTGAAAAGCTGCTTTTAGCACTTTCTTGCATGAGCTTCAACAAGTTCCAAACTCGTTGATGTGCATGCAAGAAATCAAGTGCTAACTAGAAACTTTTGCGATATATTTTTTGATGGTAATCTTATAATTCTGTTTATATGCTTTAAATTTATTTTTTTAATACCTTTATTGTTTATCGTTTTCTTTCCTTTCATTTGAATTACTTTTTATAGAACGGTTTTTGCCAAATACATACACATTATTTTCACTTTTAGCTTATTTTATTAACTTTTAATATTGAATTTACATTTTTTTCTTCAGAAAAATACATCTGCCATATTTAGACGGCAAAATTCTATATCTTCTGTGTGAAATTTGATTTTTCCACTTATAATTTAAAAAAATATTTTATCATAAATATTTATTTAATCTTTTCTTTTCATAATAATATTCTCAATGATCAACTGAGGAAATCAAAGAAGTTAACTTTATACTTACAACTATCAGTTGGTTATAGTCATAGTATTCAACTAGTCTGGAAACGCGGGCCGTTTTCTTAAAACACTTAAGTTCCTCTCTATACTAGTGCTCAGCCTACTTTAGAGTGCATCAAGTTGTAAACATTATGTTTCGATAAGTTACATATATTCTGGGATAAATATTGAAATGGCATGAACAAATTGTGATTTTTTTGGTTATTCAGTTTCAAGTTAATATTTTTGATTGCATATATATTTCGTTTTCCGAATAAAAATAATAAATATAGCATAAAATAAAGACATCAACTGTTGATAAATATAGTTATGTGACAGAGTTTGTCTTGGTATAAATACGCTTATTCAACCATATAGCTTATATCATATAAGCATTTAAGTTATATACTATATGAAAATATGTTATAGATGCAAACATTTCATTGACTGTATTACTTGAATGATGTATATGGGTATAAATGCTTTATATGATTTCAGAGTATACTTATTTAAAATGTTAGCAAATAGAGCCTAATAAACTCTATATTCTATATATAGTTTACTTAGCTGGATTAGTTGATAAGTTATATATCACTCTTTACACTATTTTGGTATCTTTTCTGGAAACAAGAAAAAATCAGGTACAATTTTATCATTTTGAATGGTTTCAAAGCTAAATTAGATAATGTTGGTATCTTTAAAGACTTGTGTTATACCCTTAACACAGCATATTTATCTACTTTAGAGAGAAAATTATATCTTAATTATTACCTAAATTATATTAAAAATAATGATTTGTTGTTTAATTTTCTACCTTACAAGAATTTTACCTTACTATGTGCATATCACATATTCTACCCTACGGTAGAACTTCTACCTTTTTTACAAGTGCTATACTAACAATAAATATTATGCAAAAACATTTTTCTATTTTTATTAATAATTAAAAAACTTAATCAGTAAAAAAAATTAGGATTTTAATAAATACTTTAAAAATAGCTAGTCTCTCAAAGCTTCTTAAACTAAAATTCAAAAGCTCGTATATAAATTTTTGTTTTTATTATGCTGTATTGCAATTTATATAATAGCAAATAAAAAAAATATACTTGATACGATAAAGATGATGCAAAAGTCTGCTACCAAATATTGCATCACTACCATACACTATCAATCAAATTCAATTCAATTATAAAAAAAGGACAGTGTATTAAAAGAAGATTACAGAATTATTTCAAATCTTGATTTTAAGCTATAATTTAATATCTATTTTGTTGAATGCAGAAAAATAATATCTCAAAATCTAAGGTTATCTACAACTAAAATAAGATATTTCATGTTAATTATCTAGTTTCATTAGTCAAGTATAATGATATACTTGACTAATCTAGATGATATACTTGACTTTTACAACTAGTGCCACTGCATGACAAATGTTTCTTTTGCTTTAGAAAGCAATCAAAATTTCTTAAAAGTTGTTGCTTGTAACTTGCGATGTTTATGCAAATCGCAAGTTGTTGAAAAGGCATTTTAAATGATTCGTTTATGCCTAATCTACCACATTAAAATAAGACAACTCGTTACTGTCTTATTTAAATATGACTTAAATATGACTATGCGCTATAAAAAGATATTTTAAAAACATTTGATGCACTCTCAGTCGGGTCACCCCTTAAAGCTCAAGTTATTTTACGAAATCTATAGAAAACGGCCCGCATTTCCAGACAAGCTAATTCTATGACTATGGTTAGATTTAAAATGTTGAGTACGATTTGCCTTTTTTGTGTGTGTCTATGTTTATATTTTATGTATCCCAAGAAGTCCTTGCGGTCTTATCACAGAGCACTGCGGAAGAACATTTAAAAGGATGTTCACGCCTCCTTCCTTAGCGACGTTATAAAACTTGCCAGAAGTGGCATTAAACTACGGATTCCCAGATTTAAGGCAAGCATGTTAACCACTGCGCAACAGCTGCTCATATATATTGATTTTCCACAACTTCCCAACTTAAGTTTTATTTCCTTCAAGTGACTCGTGAACTTTACAAGCTTCTTAAATTATTGAAGGTAAGGGCAATGCATTTTTGTAAAGAAATTTTTTTTTTCATTCACTTGCTGATGGCAAAAATTAAATAGGTTTAACTATGCTCATACAAAAATTATTTATGCATACATAATTAAGAAAAAATTTTTTAGAAATTGTTACAATATTTTGTGTAACTGTTTATATTTTAACTGGCCATGGTTATTTTTTTGATACATTCTCGGGGATTTATAACAGGTAAGAATGTCTTTTTCTCTATCTTTAACGTTATACGGTAATTATTTGTTTTCATAAATTAGGATTGTAAATTTATTTCTTATTAGCAAATACATTTTAACATATATTACATACAAATACATTTCAATAATATGTTTTGGTAACAATCAAGTATTTATTTTATTAAAAGTCTATATTTGCGGCATCAAAAGCATTTTACTTTTTTCTTTTTTTGCCAAAACCGTCTACTAATTTGGTACTAACATGCAGGATAGAATATTTTAAATCTATATTTTTTTAATGTAAAATGTAATCTATATTTTTTAATGTAAAAAAAACAGCTAAATATATTGCACTGAAAAACCTCCGATTTTAATAACGAAAATACTTCTATTTTTTTTTATATATTAATAAAAATTTCAAATAGCCTTCAACAAATCTGTATAAAATACTGAGATATTTATGAAATATAATGAAACAACATAAATAAGAAACTTATGTACATGCAAACTAAACATTGATGTACAGGCTATATATACATTTAAATATATATAATATATTTTATTATAATAGATATAATACATTTAAATAAACAAATAATATAATAAATATACTCTTTAAAAAACTTTTATGTTAAAATATATGTACATTAATGTACATAAAAAATGTTAGTATTTATTTTTACAGTAAACCGTTTCGAACCCATTATTTGCTTTAAAATTTTATTTAAACCTTGAAGAATGGTTATTTTCCCCAAAAACGCTTTCATTATCAATTTGCAATCCATGTAAAGCCAACTTTGTTCCTAACACATATAAAGAGGGATCGAGCGGCGAATTATCGAGCTTAAAGATAAATTTTTTTTTCAATACTTTTTATATATACATACTTTTTAAACTTAATTTACCCTCCTCCCTCTCCCCTCGGTTATTATAAAGGTGCAAAGTGGGATTGAACCCCGAACTTCATGACTAAAAGTCATTTCTACCACTAGTCTATTGTCACATTTAAAGGTGTGTGTGTGCGTGTGTAATATCTTTAGTATATTGTTGCTTTATAATTTTATTGCTTTAATAATTCAATTATTGTATTATACTATTATATATTATTTTATATTATATAACTTCAATATGTACTTCTATATATTTTGATCTATAACTAAGTTTACACATTTAAATAACATATACTTTATATTATATATAATACATAATATATAATTTATTGCAATATTTTTATTTAAATATAATTTAAACTAATATTATATTTATTAAATATTTATTTTAAACACATTAAATAATAATAAAGATAATAAAAACAAAATATTAAACTAAAGCAATATTTAGTATATGATATATATATATATATATATATATATATATATATATATATATATATATATATATATATATATATATATATATATATATATACAGTGGGTTGCCAAATTATTAGGGACACTTTACTTTTTAAGTAATTTTAAAGTTTAAACTACTTTAATGAATAAATATCTTGTAGTTATTTTTAAATATTGGTTTTATTGTTAGAGGGTTTTATTTAGAATATAAAACATAATTTTTTATTCATTGCTATCTATTTTTTTATAAAAAGTTTTAACATAACAAATAAGGTAATAATCCTAATATTTTGTAATGCCACCCTTTGCTACAATGACGACTTTCAGGCGTCGGGGCGTGCTTTCAATGCAAACTTTTGCATTGTGTTGGAGACTAGGGTTGTTATGCCACTCTTTTATAAGGGTTTCTATCAATTGCTGCTTAGTTGTGATGATTTCTTTGGCAATTTCCCGTTTTGTGAACTCCCACAGATTTTCTATGGGGTTCATATCAGGTGAATTCCCTGGCCATGGCAAAACACACACATTTTTTTCAGTTAGGAATGCTGTAACACTTCTAGCTTTATAACACGGTGCTGAGTCATGCATGAACATGTACTCTTCATTATCAGCAAACTTTTCTTGGACCTGGGGCAGGAGACTATTTTCTAGTACTCGCTTGTACTGATCCTGCCTCATGGTCCCATCCGCAATGTAGAGGCAGCCCATACCCTTGGCTGAGATCACAGACCACACCATTACACTCACAGGATGTTTAACCTTTTCTAAAAGGCAGTCCTGGTGAAATTTTTCTCCTGAGCGTCGTCGAACAAATGAGCTTTTGTCCATCAAAATTTGAAATGTTGACTCGTCCGAAAGCAGACCTGTAAAACATTACAAAGATATTTTAAATTATAATCCTATAATCTTTTTGGTTTCTTACAATATTAGAAATTATATTTCTATTATATATTATATTTATTATATATTTCTATTATATATTATAGAACTATTAACCAATACTTAGGTTTCAATAGTTCTGAACTCGAAAAACTTGCAAAAAATTGTTCCAAAAATAAATAATTGAAATCAATTTTGAACTTACTCCAACTACACTTTTCAACAATTGACAGCTAATTAAATAATAACCTAACTTTTTGAAAGATAGGGTGGACTGACAGAGTTGCCACAATTTGAAAACAATTATAATTATCTTAGTAACTAAAATACACAAGAAATTATAAAAAAAAAATTATTTAAAAACAATTTATTTGCTCGCAATAATCATTAAAACTTTAAAATTATTAAAAAAGTAAAGTGTCCCTAATAATTTGGCAACCCACTGTATATGTAACGGACACCAAGAAAGTTTGATTATAAAACAAGATATCATACATATCAGCATTTTACTATTTCACGTATAAATTCATTGTGGCATATTGCACATGCAATTATATTATATTTAATGAAATTGTTTATAATATAGTTGCATGGCATAATTTCATGATTGCACATTATAATGTATACTACAAAAGATGTTTTTTAGTTAAATCATTAATAATTTTATATTTTTACAATTTTTATATACACACTTATATTAGTATTTTACATTATATTATGTATAAACGTAGAAATTTTTGAATAATGCATATGTATAAATATTTTATAAATAAATTTGTTTGTAAAGACACCTGATTTAAATTGAATTCTACTACTTCACCACTTATTTCTTCACTCAATAAAAGGTCATTATTATTTTGTATTTCCTTGATATCTTGACCAACATTCCTGTTTAAAAAATACGTTAAGTAAGCACACACATGTCCAAAAATCAAAACTAATTTTCAAAATGACAAATTATGGAAAAATATAGAGAAGAAAATAAACAAAAAACCAATTTTCATAGTTGTTTTGATCAAACAAACTAGATATTAGCTCAATATTAGTTCTTTCTAATGATTCTAGATCTTTAGTTACATTGATGACATGCTGATGATGAATACCAACCTTTTATAAAAAACAAGTTTACTTTAAATGACAATAATGGCATACAAGGAACAAAAATAAAAACAAAATAACTATTACATAGATTACATAGATTAAATATTTTGAAAAACAGAAAATGATATTTAGAAAAATTTCTGCAATTGAATACAATTAACGTGTAACGGACACCACGAAAATTTGACTATAAAACCTGATGCGCCAAATTTAACCGTAAGGTAGAGCAGGGCAAGTTGAGCATAGGGACAAGTTGGGCAATTAAAATATCTCAAAAACTACGTATCATACGATAAAACATCAAATAGATGAAAGTTAGGGAATTAGAATGTTAACACAATGCGCAACTAAAGATTGTTGGAAAGCAGTTGAGTAAGATACACGGCCACTATTTATATTTTTGACCAAAAAAGTAAAAAAAAAGTTTTTCTAATTTTTGCTTAGATGCTAATAACTTTTTTATATACGACATCACTTGAGTGTTGATATTTTAACAATTTATCAGACTTTCGATTAAAACTACCAGATTTTTTTTTTCTTTATGTCTTACTGTTCTCTTTAAAACTAATGTCACCTAGTCTAGCAGTTAAGGGTAAATTGAGGATAAGTTGTGGGTAAGTTAAGGGTAAGTAGGGTAAGTTAAGCAGTTTTGAAAAAAATAAAACTGAACTTTTAAACAAAGAAACAATTTTGATAAAAAAATTAAAGATTTATTTTTAAAATTATTTATTTGTAAACCGGGCTTCAAAGTTTAAGATAATTGTATAGAATAATGTTTTTATATTTTATGACGCTTTCTCAATATTTAATTTTTTCTCTTCTCATATTTACGTCATTGAATTGTATAAAATAAAAAGTTTATAAATTAAACACACGCTTATGTTAGTGAAAATTTTATTGAAGACTCACCCAAGTTTTGTACCATATTCATTATATTTACAGGCATAATATTTTCAAAAAAAATCAAAAAGTATACTTTTTTCTTAAAGTTTTAGCAGGTTAAATTATCTTTTAAATATTGAAAAAATTATGTAAATCTAACGCACCGTTCATAAGATCTGTTATATTTAGTAAAAATTGCTCAACTAGCCCCACAGTACCCTACTTTACTATACAAACAAAGAAAACTTTTGTATCTTAAAAGAAGATTTAAACTAGACAATAAAACCAATTAAATCAACTGGAATATTTATCAAATTTACATCTTAAACTAACAATTAACAGGAAATCTCTGCAGCACAATGTCATCAACACCTCTTTACTAAACAAGTTTCAAGCAAAATTAGACCAAAACCTAAAATTGTTACCACAGTTCATCATTTTCTGTAACTGTTGCTACAGAAACTGTTTGCTAGATGATAAGCTTACAGTTTATGTTTGCTAGTAAATGATACAGTTTACTTATTGATCCAGGTAACTTAACATTTATTATTAAATTACATTAAAATTTAAATTACATTAAAATTATAAAACATAATTCAATTCAATAATATTTTGTAACTCCTTTCAAATATGTTCTTACCTCTTTTAAAAGCCATTTATTATCAAGAAATTCCAACTCATCGTGTTTTTCTAAATCACTGAACACTCGCTAAAATGATACCTTTTATATTTAAAAAATAATTAAAAATTGTTTTTAAAAATTTAAATAATTTTATATAAATTTTATAATTATATTTTATATAAATTAATATTCATCTTTTATATAATTTTAATAAAGTTTACCTATTTATCTAGAGTGACATAAACAACATTTGAAAAAAATATTAACACAAACACAACTCTTGAAACCAGAGCTACTCTCTAATATTGAAGTTTGTGTTTGGTTTGTAATAAGTAATTTTTGTATTAAAGTTTGTTGATATTTTTTTATTTAGATTATTTATATTCGATATGTAAAATCTGAATGCAGAAATACAGGTGCCTGTTTCATGTACAGGTGCCTGTTTAATCAACTTTTAATGATAAACTTTCTGAAATGGTTCAAAACTTTAAACTTCATACTTATGTCAAAATTATTTGTAAAAATATAGAATTAATTAAAAGCATGGGAAAAAAACAAAAACAAAATATTAGCTCAAAATCATGTGAGTAAAAATATAATTATTTGATAAGAAATAATTTGGCAAATTTAACTCCACGTAACCATTATTCTTTGGTCCTTAAATTTTTTTTTTTTTACTTTTGCAACAAATAAATACGAATAAGTTAATAAAGGTTCCTCACCCAAACCTTGAATAAAGCACATTAATATAAATTAAATTATTTTGTTCTTCATCTCTCACACTTTGAACAAAAAGTAATCAGGAAGACAAGAAAATTGAACTTCATTAAAATGTAATTCTACAGTTAAAACAATAAGTTATAACTATTATTTTTTACCATATTTTTATTGCATGATTGTGAATATTTAAGTATTTTTTTTTTCATAATTATAATTAGAGTTTTTAATTAGGGATAACAAAAAACTTACAGAAATTAAATAGGGACTGCAAAACACCAAGGGAAAATATTAATGAGGGATTACAAAAAACCAAGTGATTTTAATTAGGGATCACAAAAAATCTAGAAACTTTAATTAGGGATCACCTTTATATAGTGATTTCGCTGGTTATCCGTTTCAAAAACCGGATAACAGTTCTCATCAATTTGCAGTTAACTGACTATTCGGTAAATTAGTGACACTTTCTGAATACAGGATTTCAAGAAACGTAGCATTTTAAACTAATTTTTTAAAAATTAATGTTAAAGTGTACATTTTCAAGACAGTTAGTGAATACAGTCCTATATCATATAATTATAACAAAACATGGAAAAAGATATATATATTTTTTATATTATAATATAATATACCTTTTTAATTATATAATTAAAAAAGGTAGGAATAATGTACAAGTATAGTTTAAATGTTTTAATATCAGCGGATGTTTTAAAATCATACTCATATAAAAACATTTGATTTGGAAAAATGAGATGTTATGAAGTAAATTTTTTTAGCGTGTATTTTTAAAACTAAATAATAATGTAATTTTAAATTGTTATGCAGACATAGATGGAAACAACTTGTTGCGTAAAGATAATATAAAGAATATTTGCTAACACTAAAATACCGCCAAATCTACGAATAAACAAATTCTATTGGTTCAAAAAATACGCTGAATAAGCGAATTAGAGTTCCAGAATATTCTGAAGAAAATTTCTTGATTGAGTTGTAAAAGTAATAAATAAATCTTTGAGGTTTCTATTGTAAATTGTTTTAAGAATATAATATAAAACAAAACTGATTAAATTAACATTTAAATTAATAAAAGAAATATATTATAATCTTTGATAAATTAACATTTGTCAAACAATAATCGTCATAATTATGATGTTACTTTCTATAAAATTTTGTAAAATTTTGAAGTCGGTTTTTATTATTTGAAAATAGATATTTGATATTCGAGCAAAATCCGGTTAACCGCAAAACCGGATAACCGGCGAAATCACTATTTTTAGACTACAACATCCTTCTCGGGCTAGAAACATGAAAAAAAAAAGTTAAAGTTCTACATAATGTTTAATTAATAGCAAAATATTTCGTAAAACTGTAATGCTAATAAGAAATTACTTCTGAAGCCAGTTTTTTGTGTTGTGTTAAACTTTCATCATTTTGCTTCATAACAACGTTTTTGTATGAAGAAAAGCTTCGTTGGAAAAAATTTTCAATTTCTTTATATGATGCTTCCATATCTTCTATTTCCTGGAGCAAATCATCAATGCGTGCTTGATCCTTAAATTTTCCATATGCCTTGAAAATAATTTTAAAATATTTTTTCATGTCAGTGTAATGAAAAAAAAAAAAAAAAAGGTTTAATTAAAAACAAAACCTGATAGTTTTTTAACTGTTCAAGATCATTTGTAAACTCCTTTGTCATTTTTTCAATTTTCACAATTTCTCCACGCATTTCTGAAATAAAATTTTTTTTTCTGAAAGGTTTAGTAAAACATACTGTGTTTTGTGCATGCATTTTTAAAGCTCAAAAGAATGTTCATTTTTCGTCTCTGTTGTGCAATATTTTTTATTTTATTTTTTAAACACTTTGAAAAGGTTGCAAAATAGCTAACTTAAAAAACTTTTGATATAATGGCTACTAAAATCTTGGTGACTGACAACCTAAGAAGTTGTATATGTACGATAAGAAAAATAACTTAAGATTGAACTTTAAGCATT